TTATCATCCGAAAAGAAATAAAATTATTAGAGATTTCTAATTTAGTGTTAATTCTAAGTTAGTTATACCTCGATAGCAGGTATTTCTCCAGTTTGCTTAGTTTTCAACAGCGAATTCGAAATCCTCTATAGGGATGTTTGCAGAATTTAAATTGTATTTAAGTTTATCCTTGAAGCGTAACCAAGGACGGCCTAAGTTACGCTTACCATGAAAAAAGTTGGCAATCCATGAGGATTTTCGGTATCCGATCGTCACTCATTCTGATGTCATGACCAGTTCATCTCAACTGTGATGTCCTGAGGATATTGTCTACGATGGACGTTACTTCATGAAAGCGTACGAAAATTGTAACGATTCACGAGTATAATGGCAAGCCTTATTAGTGAGCAAATCAAAGTACTATCGATTAGCCCGGGAACTCTCCTGATTTATATCTAATCGAGAATCTATGGTCAATCTGCAAGGAACGACTTTGTGGAATGGACATGTGCACTGGGTCATGTTTCATTGGAAAAATACGAAAAAAAGTAAATAATAACGGAATTATTCGCTTTGTTTCAATTAATTTGCACAAAAGTGTAAATGATAATGTAATTGGCAGTGAACTCTGGAGACACGATAAGTTTGTCAGCTATGTCTTGCCGAAAAGAGGTACATTTATATGACGTAAAATACGATAATGACATTTTTGTTTTCGTAGTCGAATCGTTACATCTCCTTTAAATTCGCAAGTTTCCTTCCTTAGTGTCTGGTGCACGCTACACTCTTCTCCAAGAGTGTCAGGATGACCTGTGCTTCGCAATAAAAAAAAAAAGATGTGATGGAGAGATCATTCAGAATTTAATAGTATTATACTAGCATGCAGTTATCTGTATCCATTTATTTTTTTTATTTTTTAAGTTTCCCCCTTGCTATTTTTTTTTTTTTGCTACTTATCTCACCATGGGCTTCTTTTTTTCCTTTTCAGCCGTCGCCATAAAGGCAACAATCTGCGACGATCATCATTTCCTCTCTATATTTTTTACTCTGATCGTTCCCTGCCACTTAAATAATCCTCAAAACTGCACACACTAACCCTAACCCTGCCCCGAAATTTCGCCCTCCGGACGTTTCATTATACGATAAGCACTGGGGCCGACTTCCACACGCCGTTTGTACGACGATGGGATGCTGACATCACGAAAGAATCTGACATTGATTGATACAGAACCACGTGGTTTCCTTAAAATTTTTCTTACCCAGAATGAGTGCTTAGCTCATCACTTTGAGCCAGGGACAGAGAGACATCCCAATTCATTTGTTTCAAATAAGGGTAAAGTGGTTTCATATGCAGGGAAGGTGATGGCCTCATATTTTTTGCTGGGGAGGGTTATGCACAAGGCATTGCGTTTATTGAATATATTCAAATCTACCGTGCCATCAATGGAGAGTAATATTCCAAAGGCTATCAAGATCAAACGCCGAGGAAAACTGTCAAAAATGGTTGTTTCATCAAGACAATTTGCCAACACAAGTCATTGGTTTCAATCGCTTCTATGCTTGACTGGGTTTATGAAGTGATTAATCATCCGTTCCATTCTTCTTTTTGGATTATCATCTGTTCAACATAGGAAAAACATATTTGTCTGAGAAAACAGTATCGCAATGATGGTGACGGCATATTTGCTGTTGAAGACTTTTTGACCAAAAGAATGAGCAATGTTCTTTGATGAGTCAGAATGGAAAGAATGGAAAAAATCCGAAATAATGCTGAGTTTAACAAGAATATCGAAGAATTGTGAATCCAGATAAATAGATTTGAAGAGGGTCAGATAGATAGATAGATAGATAGATAGATAGATAGATAGATAGATAGATAGATAGATATTAACACACTTAGATAGATAGATAGATAGATAGATAGATAGATAGATAGATAGATATGAACAGACAGACAGATAGATAGATATAAACAGACTGAGATAGATAGATAGATAGATAGATAGATAGATAGATAGATAGATAGATAGATAGATAGATATGAACAGACTGATATATAGATAAAAAGATAGATACGAACAGACTGATATATATATATATATATATATATATATATATATATATATATATATATAGAGAGAGAGAGAGAGAGAGAGAGAGATAGATAGATAGATATAAACAGACAAACAGATAGATAGATATAAACAGACTGAGATAGATAGATAGATAGATAGGTAGATAGATAGATAGATAGATATGAACAGACTGATAGATAGATAAATAGATAGATACGGACAGACTGATATATATATATATATATATATATATATATATATATATATATATATATATATAGAGAGAGAGAGAGAGAGAGAGAGAGAGAAAAATAGATAGATAGATATGAACAGACTGAGAAAGATAGATAGATAGATAGATAGATAGATAGATAGATAGATAGATAGATGTATTTATTCCATGATGCAAGACAACGAGCGATATTTGACCAATTTATCAAATACATTTTTTTTTCAATTACTTCTTGGGTGAACCGACGTTGTCATGTCTCTCCTTTGTCTGTAATTAAAAATTAAAATCTGATCTAAGCTTTCCCATGTATAATGTTCTAATAATGCCCAATTCTGTTGGCATACGGTCAATATGATTCTGAAATTGTTCAACATTGTCGAAGGTTATACCCGGTAAATATTCATATATTAATATTTGTAAAGGAAACATAAATATTTCATTATAAAGAAATACTTAACATGTTGAGGTGCAAGATCTCAGTACATACACTAGTTATCTCACTCATAATGCATTCATATATATATATATATATATATATATATATATATATGTGTGTGTGTGTGTGTGTGTGTGTGTGTGTAATCAAAACGCTGAGGTTGTTTCCCATTGACAGGCTGCAGAAACATCCGGTTTCGAAGATGCAGATAATAAAGTGTCATCCTTCCGAAATTATTGTTCTCAACATCATTGGCCGTACCCCCCAACAGACCATCTCTGACTTTCACCACGCCCGTCTGTTGTGTGCAGAACGAAAACCCTGGCCCCAAACCGACGAACAGACCATTCATTCGTTCTTTCATTGATTCACAGCTATCATTATGCCATCAGATAAATGGTAACGAGCAAATCCGGTGGAGTAGAGAACAGGAAGTAGATGAAATACTTTTGCCAGCCGATGAAATGGAAGATTTACTGAATAGAAACAGGACGGAAGTTTTGCATTAGAGAAAGAAAAGAAAGAGAATACAGACTGAAATGCAGTGGAAAAAAATGGGTGAAAATAAATGTGCAACATGGAAAGTTGAAAAGTGTCATGGAGCTAGATGTATAGGCAGACTGGTAGAGATAGATAGATAGATAGATAGATAGATAGATAGATAGATATGAACAGACTGAGATAGATAGATAGATAGATAGATAGATAGATAGATAGATAGATAGATATGAATAGGGAATGACAGCTAGATATATCGACCATAATAGGTAGATAGATATGAACAGGCTGAGATAGATAGATAGATAGATAGATAGATAGATAGATAGGAATAGAACATGATAGCTGGATATGTCGAACATAATAGATATGAACAAATAGAGATAGATAGATAGATAGATAGATAGATAGATAGATAGATAGATAGATAGATCATGATAGCTGGATATATCGACAATAATAGATATGAAGAAACAGAGGTAGATAGATATGAATAAGTCATGACAGCTTAATATGAGCAGATCATAATAGATAGATAGATAGATAGATAGGTAGATAGATAGATAGATAATGAATAGACTGAGATAGATAGATAGATAGATAGATAGATAGATAGATATGAATAGTTGATGACAGCTAGGTATGTCGACCATAAAAGGTTGATCGATATGAACAGGCTGAGATAGATAGATAGATAGATAGATAGATAGATAGATAGATAGATAGATAGAAAAGAATAGTTCATGACAGCTATATATGTCGACCATAATAGATATGAACAGACTGAGATAGATAGATAGATAGATAGATAGATAGATAGATAGATAGATAGATCAGGACAGCTAGTTAAGTGTCGACCATGATAGATAGATAGATATGAAGAAACATAGATAGATAGAAACAGACTTAGATAGATAGATAGATAGATAGATAGATAGATAGATAGATAGATAGATATGAACTTCGATAGATAGATAGATAGATAGATAGATAGTGTTGTAACCAAGTGAATGGTTAAAGAAATAACATAACAATTTTTACAGATATATCATACATTAACCAGTAAGTACAAAGGAAGAGTATTACATGAATAGTGAGTGTATATCGGTTGACCCAGCGTTCAATCTATTCGACTGTTCCCCCAAGGCCTTCTCTCCTACTAATCTTATAGTAGGCGGAAGAGTCCAAAATAGACTCTTTAGAGAGAGGACATCACAACACCCCCTCCCTTTTCACCCTGACTCCGTATAGTGTCTTTTTTATAATTACCACACAATACTTTTTATTCAACTAAATAAACCCTATTTCACAACAAAAAAAAAATCAGAAACAACCACTTTGAAAAACTATGTACAGGAATTACGTACACAATTTTTCTTTTAGTTTTACGACAAACATTTTACGTATTAACAACAGTCCCTTCTTATCAGGTCTCTAAATAACGAAAAATTGGATAAGTTTAATGCTAAATTATAATGTTAATAATTTACAATAATCCAATGCGTATTGTGCTTTTCTGGTAACTCATTGTTTATAAGTGAGATGGTTTTTTTTTTTAACTTATTCTTCTCCTTTTCCTGTAGACATGGTATGAAATGAAACATGTTCAATATCTTTTTTCTTTTCTGATTAATTTCTCAATTACTACAAGGTAGTAAAAACCATCAAGTGGGCCAGTAAAATCACTGGCTATCCGCGAACACGGACGGTCGGTTTTAGGCCAGGGATTGAATTTTATCGGGGGTACTTTAACAGCCAAAGCACACCCTTTGCAGGATCTTACCTTTTTTTTTTCAATATCCTTGTCCATGTTGGTCCAGTAGACGTAACTCCTCATCAGACTCTTCATTCTTGAAGTTCGCAGATGGCCTACATAGAATTCCTTTAAAGTTATTTTCTGTAGTCTAGATGGGATAACTTCTCTGTACATTAGTATGTCGTTACAGAGTAAGTAAACTTCTGAGATATTCTGGTCTTTACTATTTAGTTTGTCCTTTACTTCCTTTATGAACTCATCATTGGACACTTTGTCTATTCTCTCGTCAATTGTTATAGGAAACTCCCTGAGAGTATTGCGCAACATACTTTTTATTTCGATCTCTGTTCTTATGGCAGCAATGACTATGTCTCTCAGGGGTTCAGCATACTTAGGTATCAATCTTGACAACCAATCTGCATGACAGATTTTAGTGGATGGGGGAAACTCTGTTTTGTAGTTATAATTGAAGAGAATAGTTCCCCATCTTTGCAGTTTATTAGCAGTATGTGTTGGCAGACCCCTTTTTGATACAAAGATAGTAAGTAGTGAACGATGGTCTGTCTGCAACAAAAAGTACCTTCCGTGAATAAAGCTATGAAATTTAGTCACCGCAAAAAATGATTCTTAAGACTTCCTTCTCTATTTGCGAGTAACCCCTTTCAGCTGGTAATAGTGTCCTAGATGCATGGGCGATTGACTTTACCGATCCATCCTTTAACTTGTGTAATATGCACGCCCCAATGCCGTAGGAGCTAGCATTGGTGGCTGCAAGGATGTCAAACGTTGGATCATAATGAGTCAGGAACAGATCTGATGTAAGGACCTCCTTTATTTTCTCAAATGCTTCCTGGCATTTGATTGTCCATTCCCACTCTTTATCTTTTCTCAATAATTCATTAAGTGGAGCTCTCAAACTGTGCATTCTTGGGACAAAAACGTTGTAAGAATTGGCAAGACCTAAAAAAACTTTGAAGAGCCGACACATTTTCTAGTGTTGGCATTTTATTTATTGCCGTTGGCCTATCTGGGTGGGGATGTCTTCCGTCTTTGTTAATTACCTACCCGAAGTACTTAATCCTCTCTAAGAAAAACACACTTCCCACCTTTTAATTTGAATCCGTAATCCTGGATTCTCATGAACACCTGCCAGACATGCGATATGCGTTCAATCTATTCGACTGTTCCCCCAAGGCCTTCTCTCGTACTAATTTTATGGTAGGCGGGAAGAGTCCAAAATAGACTCTTTAGAGGGAGGACACCACAACAGATAGATATATATATAGATATGGATAGATAATGACAGCTAGATATGAGTAGACCATAATAAATAGATAGATAGATCGATGGATAGATAGATAGACAGACAAATAGGAAATATCCGAACAACCTAATTAAGATGGAATATAAAAAAACCGGTTGGATTTTTAAATGTTTTATTCTATCGTCAACGTTTCGTTCAATAAGAACATCATCAAATAACTAAAAAACTCAAGTGAAGGAATAAGCTTTCCCATGAGAAATTTGTTAAATTTTAAATAAAATTGCTATCTGGCTGGGCGAATAAATTATGGAATATTAATAATTATTTAATATTATTCAAATTCATGCACATCTTTTAATATTTTTTTTCATTAGAGCAAACAAAACAGATATTTACATTATTTATACTGTTTTCCTCATCTTTATATATATATATATATATATATATATATATATATATATATATATATATATATATAAGTGCAGGTATGCAGAAAAATAGAAAGAAAACACGTTGGGTGTATAATTGTTTGAAGATGAAACGAGACTAAACACATCAATTCAACTTAATTTTAATAATTATTTGGATGGTTTCGGCTCTCGTTTTTTGAAACATGAGAACTCTTATGTAGCGAAGGAATCATATTTTTAAACAAATATATATATATATATATATATATATATATATATATATATATATATGATATGATACAATACGAAATACGTTCAAATTACGAGAATTTAACGTGCTTTTTTCTAGTTAGCAGAACTGTCAAAGATGCTCAAAAGATAATTGAACATTTAACATTCAATAAAGTAAGAAACGTCCAAGTGAATTATTTGGTTAACCGAAAAATACGTCCCGACACTTAACTCTTGTGTCGATTAAGTCACTGGCATTTTAAATTTGCAGGGGTTTTTTTTTGGTGGGGGGGTTAAAGGGAAACAAAGTGAACATCCAAAGCAAAAAGTAATTTATTTAAAAATTTGAAAGCGGGTTAAAGGTGATAATATTCAAAAGACAACTGATTGACGCCATTCTCGGCATTTACCACAGCCTCGATCCGACTCCAGTATCTGATACATGCAGCCTTCGCGGAGCGTCAAACTCCTCCTTAATCTTGTCACACATGCTGTCACACATATGATCTTCCAGCAGAAGCCCTCTCCAGACATGTCTTCTGTTGTTCCGAGTGCGGTGCAACTGACCTGGACAAAAATTCTTTCATCATAGAAGAACCAGATTGTTTCTTCTTCAACA